TCCCCTCAAAATCATATGAGATCATATGACACTCAGCTTTGCACAAGCAAATGCACAAGGACAAACTAACATCAGAACACTTGTGCAATGAAAGCATTCATTTGGTTTCGCTATATCTGTAGTTAGGCACATGCATAATCCCCTGAGTGGATTTAAATAATGATTGCCCCTTATCTGGTAGTGTCCCACTCTAATCTGTGTGGTTCGGACCTTGTTGTGTCATCGCTCCGCTCTTGGTGTGACGTGCCAGCTGCCTATCTGCGTCTTCTCCTCATCTCCAAACCCATAAAACACCCTGACAGGCCCTTTATTTGAGATGCGCCTGTAGCACTGTTTAATATGTGGACGGAGGTCTCATAAGACACTAAACCCTTCATGTTCAGTTCTTTGTGCATGACTGCATATGGAAGCACTTGTAAATATACTCTTATGCTCAAACACATGATTTCCATATACTGTAAAAAGAAAGACTTTAAAATAAATATTATTTTTTTTGCATCTGTAGCAAGATGACTCAACCAAACATGTTTTAAAGTAAATATATTTCTCCGCATGATTAATTTGCTGTGTTTGTTTTATGTTTTTTACCTATAGATTCTTTGGAAATTTTTGTAAATAACAAAGATAATGTTTTGCCAAAGCTGTGTTTTTTTTTGCCATTTTGTCATGCTCTGCTACACAATCAGTCAGTTTGAAAGCTCAAGTTTTTATTTTCTAATGTGATCATTTTCATTTATGATAGTCCTTTCTGTGATAAGGTTTCTGCTTGCGCTCGCACCGTCGACTGCTGCTTTGCCTCAGGGTGAGTGATTTGCATATCTGCTCATTTGTTAAGCAAATCTTTCTCCTTCTATCTTTTTTCTTCATCCCTCCCTGTTTTCTCCCTTTCGCTCTACCACTCTGCTTTTGTAATCTTGAAAGATGTTGTGGCCTTTTGTGAATGTTTCTGTGCATATATATATATATATATATATATATATATATATACATATTTATGTGTCTGGAGGAATATGTGTCATATTTTGTGCTGATGCAATGGTTCAGTGTGGATGTGTTGACATTGTTTATACGAGCGGACTGATGTACACTATAGGTCAAATTTCCTTTTTTGCCTGCAGGCTTTAACAGCTTTTGGCACGGACCTATTGAAATTTTTATTTATTTTTTTATGGTGTGGCCAGTCTAAAATATCTTAAGGCACTACTCTTTATTGTTCATGACAATTAATTCTGAATCAACTGTTTCTACAAACACAAAACAGCTGCAAAAGCTGAGTGAATTTAACATATGGTGGGTTTGATTCATTGGAATATAGAAGAATACAAGATTAAAATCAAACTTTATACATGCTTATCTGAATTTGTTGCTCATTATCTCATGATCGATGAGGTTTGTGTGTAAATGCCTGAAATCAGTATTGTAGTGACTGTATTGACAGTATTGACTGATTTTCTCCACTGTAGACTGTTTTAAAACAAACTTTGTCCTGGTAACTGGACATTTTTTTACTGCCTTTTTCATCTATCACATATTTTAGTAATCATAATATAATTTGAAATTGGACATTGTGTTCCTATTAAAACGGTTAAAACCTTTTAGCTGGCTCAATTTGTTTAGATATGAAGTTGAAATTATTTTGCAAAATATAAATATTGTATAAAATAAGAAAAGTTTAGTTCAGTACATTTGCTTTAACTTTTATAACTTTTTTACACTTCCATTTGTTGACGTTTTTTGAAACTCTGAATTACAGCCATTTAAATTCAGTTCTACACTCGGAAAGGGGGATGACAGTCAACAGGTTAAGAAGTCGGTTGAGTCCCTGGATCTGTCAGAGCGGTTACTGAATCAACATCTGATTGAATCTCTTACTGAACGATCATTAGTGTGCATACGTTAGTCACTTAAAGGTTTTTCATGACAGTGATGTGCAGTTAAAGATAAAGACCTACATAGGCAAGTTTTTTTTTTTTTATCCTTATGTAACCCCGCCCCTTTTCATGAATCGCTCGTTTTAAAATATTCCCGGTCTAATGACATTTGTTAGGACATCCGCTTCAAACAGTACAATGCTCATGATAACTTTTGTCTTTTTGTCAAAAAAAAAAAAGAAGATCGTTCACCCAAAAATTAAAATTCTGTCATAATTTACTCACCTTTAAAGATGGCTGTGCTCCTTTCTTTCTCTGGTGATTAAGGTCTATATATATAGATCATTCAAAAGTTTAGGCTCAGTGATATTTTGAAGGAAATTAATAGTTTATTCAGCAAGAATACATTAAATGGATCAAAAGTCATCAAGACATTTCTGTAATGTTACAAAAGATTTATTTTCTAAATCTGTTCTTGTGAATAGTAATAATAATTTTTTTTAAAAAAATCCTGAGCACCAAAACAACATATTAGAATGATTTCAGATCATGTGATTCTGAAGACTGGAGTAATGATGCTGAAAATTCAGCTTTGCCATCACAGAAATAAATGACATATATATATATATATATATATATATAAATATATATAAACAAGTTATTTTAAATGGATGATGATGATTATATGAAAATTATGTTTCACAGTATTACTTTTTGTAGGAACTAAACCAGCCTTGGTAAGCATAAGAAACTGTTAATATTATATTATTAGAAACATTATACACTCACCTAAAGGATTATTAGGAACACTTGTTCAATTTCTCATTAATGCAATTATCTAATCAACCAATCAAATGGCAGTTGCTTCAATGCATTTAGGGGTGTGTTCCTGGTCAAGACAATCTCCTGAACTCCAAACTGAATGTCAGAATGGGAAAGAAAGGAGATTTAAGCAATATTGAGCGTGGCATGGTTGTTGGTGGCAGACGGGCCGGTCTGAGTATTTCACAATCTACCCAGTTACTGGGATTTTCACGCACAACCATTTCTAGTGTGGTGTGAAAAGAGAAAAATATCCAGTATGCGGCAGTCCTGTGGACGAAAATGCCTTGTTGATGCTAGAGGTCAGAAGATAATGGGCCGACTGAATCAAGCTGATAGAAGAGCAACTATGACTGAAATAAACACCCGTTACAACCGAGGTATGCAGCAAAGCATTTGTGAAGACACAACACGCACAACCTTGATGCGGATGGGCTACCACAGCAGAAGACCCCACCGGGTACCACTCATCTCCACTACAAATAGGAAAAAGAGGCTACAATTTGCAAGAGCTCACCAAAATTGTACAGTTGAAGACTGGAAAAATATTGCCTACTTCCAGCAGGATAATGCACCATGTCACAAAGCTTTAATCATTGGTTTCTTGAACATAACAATGAGTTGACTGTACTAAAATGGCCCCCACAGTCACCAGATCTCAACCCAATAGAGCATCTTTGGGATGCTGTGGAACGGGAGCTTCGTGCCCTGGATGTGCATCCCACAAATCTCCATCAACTGCAAGATGCTAATCCTATCAATATGGGCCAACATATCTAAAGAATGCTTTCAGCACCTTGTTGAATCAATGCCACGTAGAATTAAGGCAGTTCTGAAGGCGAAAGAGGGCCACAGTACAGTATTAGTATGGTGTTCCTAATAATCCTTTAGGTGACGTCTGTCTGTCCCAGTATAACTCAGGCTCTTATACCTCATTTAAAGAATAGGTGTGTCCCAAGTTTTGCTGAAAAGTGTAAGCTACGTGGCGTTATACCAAAACCTGTTTAATTTTCATAATAAGAAATTACTGTTAGCGGACTGTTGCGTAAATGGAAAAGAAACAGTTTTCTGATTTACAAAATCATGCAAAATCAACACGCACACAAAAAAAGAGGAAGTGGAACTCAGGTGTGTGCTTGTCCCTTCATTTCCCCTTTTCTCTATTCAAGGCTACACCCCTCTCGTCTTGGTCCTAAAATCCTGTTTGCTCATACATTGTCTGTCATCCAAATATGACACCGATTGGCTCCCTGAGCAATATTGTGATTTGCTATTGGATTTACTGTTTGCTCCAGGATGTGGCTGTAACTGTCCTCAGTCTGACTCAGACCCCGTTGCTGAGGTAATGAAAATAATCATTTGCATAGTCACCACAGATTTGTTTACCAACTGTACTAGAGAGACACTATTTCCACCCTGCTGCGGACACTGATTTCTGTTCCTAATTTTTCAGACAGCCGAGCGCAGATGGGGAACAGGTCAGCAGTGGAAGTGATGAGATTTCTGATCAACTTTCTTCAGCTTTTTTCTCAATAAGTTCCCCTTTCCTAAATGACTGCACATACCTGTCCTGTTTTTCTTTTGTGATCAGGTGATACCCACAGTTGAGCGTTCTGAGGGAACCACCGAGATGTGTAACGTGTGATTTATGTTGCAGTACGGTGGAAGTGGATTGGATTTTCCTAACTGTCTCTTTTGTTTGAGAGGGGAGGTGTGCGTAAAGCTGTGTCGGTATATAGGAATTTGTTTGGCAAAGCAGCTGGAACTACTGATGGGGAGTGACCTCAGAAGAGACGTCAGTAAATCTCTGAGTTTTTGTAGTCTAAATGTTTGCACAACTTAGACTAAGAAGTCTCAGTTGGTCAAAGTTTAATCACAGGAATCATCCCATTCTTAAATATAAACTTCTTTGTTTCGCTGCTTTCCTTCCAAGCTCTGGCCCACAGGGACCGTTCGTTCAGACACACCAAGTTTACAAACCTGCCAGGCAGGAGATTTGCATGTAGAGTTCCAGGTACCTATTTGAATGAAGCTTTATCTCTAGTCACACCAGAGATTTCACACAGCCTCCGGCAGTGTGCAGAACCCATCGGCAGGGCCAACGGAACTGTGTATCCGGATCCTCGACAGGGCGGAGACACAAGAAGACAAACACTGCAAAGCCTTGTTTGCTGACTCTTCTCGTTTTTCACTGTAGCAGGACTGATTTCTTACACATTTACGGTGCGTTCACCCCTCCCCCTTCTCTTCATCTCACAACTAGATTTAAAAACGCACTGTTATGAATTATTGATCGGGCACTTTACGTCTGATTTTAAACAATTGTATTTATTTAGTACAATTTTTGTGATAAGAGTTTCTATAAATAACATGACAAAAAAACTAAATCTCACTACTTTTTATACTAAAAGAAAAGAAAATGAAAGGCATGTTTGAACTCCTTCATAGTGGCAGTACCTGGCATGTGGATTTCATTTAATAGTGGACATTTAAATCATTCGATGGACTTTCCGCTTGTTAGATTACAGTTCTGATGTGTTAATGGGTAAAATAAAGTCATTTTGAAATCAATTGAAAGGTCTTAATGAAAATGCTGTCATCATTTACTCGTTCCAAACCTGCATGAGTTTCTCTTTTTACAAAAGAAGAGATTTTAAGGAATGTAGGTTACAAGACGGTCACTGACTTCCTATGGACTGGCTGTCAACTGTCTGTAAAATATCTTCTTTTGTGTTCAACAGGGGAAAGAAACTCATCCAGGTTTGAAGCAACATGAGGGTGAGCAAGTGATTTCAGCTTAGGTAATTTTGTTGTGTGCTTTTGTCATTTTTATGATTCTTAAATGTAGAACTATCCCTTTAACATGAGTCTTTTTTTCTGTCAATCAACAGCCATTGGTGGTCTTCATTTCCTCCCCGCTGTCCGCCACGCCATGTGCAACCTCCGTTATTTAAGGCTGTGCTGGCTCTCGTGGTGTCTGCGAAGATCTACCTTCCTCTGGAAGCCTTTGGAACAGATCTCGCAGCCGAACGGCTTGAATCCGGTGTGTTTGCGACTGTGTGTGATGAGGTTGGAGCTCTGGCTGAAGGCCTTGCCACACACCTGACATTTGTGAGGTTTCTCACCTGCAAACAAACAGCACCATTTGTGATGAAATGACATTTGAAAGCCATTTTAATTGGTATAAAACACTGGAAATCTTGCTTTAAAAACAGCTTGAAGCATGGATTTGCGTGCCACCCAGATTTGTTTTTTTGTTTTTTTTTAACACAGGAGTGGCTGTGTGCTACACGCAAAGGTAATTTTACGAGAGTCATCGGGAAAGCAGGAAGACCAGCTATGCAAATCAAGACAGCATTTGTTTAATCTCCTTTTCTTGATTTGTCTGTAGCTGTGCCGCTCTTGGAAACACACCCTAGAAAGCAAGCCAACTTCAGCATCTGAAGTGAATATCTCTTCAGCATATTCAGTTTTAATGATTTACATGGAATGAGTGTTTAAATAACATTTCCAAATAATATGGGAAGAGGTTTTGGGAAACTGTTATTGAGGGGGCATTAAACCGCATGTGCTTTTTATCACAGATCTCTTTTCAACCACGACATAACAAACCCGCAGTCACACACTGTTGCGTCTCACCTGTATGGATGTAGGTGTGTTTCTTCATATCGGATTTCTGGTGGAATCTCTTTCCGCAGTACTGGCAGGGGTACGGCCGTGTGTCCGAGTGGATCAGCAGGTGAGTGGACAGCGTTGAGGAGCGTTTGAAGGTCTTTCCACACATCTTGCACTCGAAACTTCTTTCCTTTAAATGCAACAACAACAACAAAAATCATTATTTCATAGCCATTATCCAAATGCCAGCTGATGTCCAATGGGCCTAACTGGATCAGCATGGTTTGTTCTTACCTGAGAGTGGACGTTCATGTGTTGCTCTAAGCTAACTGCGTGGCCAAAGCTTTTTCTGCAGATGCTGCATCCAAAGGGACGTGTGCCACTGTGAGAACGCCTGACGTGAACCTCTAGTCCATGAGGGGTGGAAAACACCTGGAGAAGAGGACAGAAACCACAAATGAAATTGATATATATATATATATATATAAAATAAAAAAATGTGTGTATATATATATATATATATATATGTGTGTGTGTGTGTGTGTGTGTATGTATATATATATATATATATATATATATATATATATGTATGTATGTATGTATGTATACATACATATATATATATATATATATATATATATTATACATACAAACACACACACACACATATATATATATATATATATATAATTTTCTTTTTTTATAATATATTATTCACATTATAATTTACATTTTTACAATCTAATTTTAATATTTGTTTATTATTTTTATTTATAAATAAATTAATAAATATCATGTATTTGAAATACAGACAATATTTAAATGTTATCATTGATTCATATATATATATATTTCATAAACAAAATGTAATTGTTTAAATTTGCCCATAATTTTCATAAACAAAATGTAATTTTGTTTATTTTTATCTAGATATAATAATTTAAAATATAGATATAAAATAATTGTAATACATGGTGTGTGTATTATAATTTATTTAGAAAACATTAAAATAGAAACAACATTTAAAATAAAATGTATTGCAAATTTAAATATTTTTAAATAATTTATTTTTAAAAGAATCCAAACAAAAAATACTAAAGTTAAAATACACATACATAACAAACAAACAATAAATAATGATCTTACCTTATCACAGGTAATGCAGTGGTAGGTGTTGGACGTAGGTGAGTAGTGTGTGCTGCAGTCCAGTGGCTGTGGAGTCTCCGAGCTCTGCTTCAGATGAGCGCCGTACAGGCTGCTGGCGTGCTGCAGGAGCGATGGAGGGAAGCCCATCTGCCTGAAGTCATATGTAGTGGGAACATGATCCCAGGCATAAGAGCTCTTGTAGTAGGAAGGAAACTCTGCCAACTGAGGCTCTGTTGGAGGTAATGTAAAATCATTAAGATGATGATTGGTATTGTGTCTAATCTGCCCTAGAGATGTCACATGATACTTAACAAAATGTTTTTTTTTTTTTTATTTGTGCCTTAGACACGCAGATATAGTGCACAGCCACACTCACCAGATAAGTAAAATGGCCGTCTGGTTGTGACGGACAGCTCAGGTAGAGATGGTACTGGGCAGTCGGGCTCTCGCTCACACTTGATGAAGTCATACGGGTCTCTGTGGGAAGGTCGAGAGAGGGAATCTACCTGGGGCCGGTCTGGGGAATTACGCTCCTTTGGTTCCAAAGGGACCAGTGCTGGGACTAAGAAATCACAATGATCGTAAAATGCACGTGTTACAAGGTTGCAGGTTACAACAACAGCAATTGAAGTGAAATTTCTTAAAATTTTAAAACATGATATAGTTTCCATAAAAAGTTTTTAAACACTTGTCACACATAAATATGTCTGAATGTCAGTGGATTACACACACACACACACACACACACATATATCATAGATTTGATCTCAGAAGTAACTATACTTTTCAAGGCTTTTTTTGCAATAATGATCACTGGGATGCGGTAAGTAATGCCACTTGGTTTTTATATTTTGTTTTCTAATTCAGTGAGATTATTATGCAAAAGCGTTATTTTTAATAGGCTTCTCACTGAGCTATCCAAATATTATTCATCCAGCCAGACAAATATTTCACTCAAGCATCTCCTCTGTAAAGGCACTTTAAATAAGAGTATTAGAGATGTGTTTGTGTGTGTACATAAAAAAAAAACGACTGACAGATCTGAGATTGTTCCTAACACTACATTTTTCCAAATGAAACCTAAAAAACAGTTATAATCCAACAGTGACAGTACCGCTCTCTTGTTTGAATAGGCCTAGTTTGCATATTGACCGTTTACAAACTTCCATGGAATACATTCTATTGAGCTATACCTCCATAAAGAGCGTAAATGAAGCCCAAAATGATGTCTTAAGCAGCTGTCAATGTTTTGAGACACAGCCCTAGAATCAAATAACAGTCAGCCTGAGGCGGAAGCATCAGCAAACAGCAATCTGACAGGTGCTCAGCACATCCACTCACCAATGAATAATTTATTTCCCCAAATAAGAGAATTAAGCGATTTCCACTTATGAGGACCGAATATAAAACCTACTGAGCATTTTAGTATAAATTCAGTATTTCTGAAATATAATAATGCCATTTACTTGTTTTGGGTGCTGGGTCCGGGACTTTCTGTTCACTTTGCTCCGTGTCGATGGGTCGGTGCACATTGTAGGACTTTTTACTTTTCACCAAAAACGATCGTGGCATTTTTTTTTTTTTCTGTAAAATGAGATTTGTTTATTGTGATACTTCCATTTTCATATTTATATGATAACATGTCCATAACTATTACAAAACTTATAAAAAAAAACTGTAAAAATATCCATCTAAATACAAATGAAAAATATAGCTACCCTGTATGATGATAAAGTTATTTTATAAAAAATTAAAAACAGCAACCTCAAAGCTCTTGTAATAAGATAATTGTCTTTTAAAAGTGTGAAAATATACGGTAGGCTATACAGTTATTATAAGCTACAATACTGTTGATGTTGATGTTTTGAAGTTTCAGTCGAACTTTATTCTGGTTTGAGAAAATTTTATAACATGTTATAATAAATATACCAAATTATTGTTGAACACTAAATAAGAATTATTTAAATATAAATATAATAATAATATATCTGAGGTTGAACATTTTTAAATAACTGATTTAATTGCGAATGTATTATAAATATGAAAACAGCTTACCTGAAATGGTGTAGATCCAGAAACAAAATATGTTTAAAGTCCTTTGATGGTTTTCGCAAACTTCGTGATGAAAAAGTGGTGGGAAATCCGTTGGGATGTTTAGAAACTTAAGCACTGCATCTCTGTGAGTTGGTTGCGTTGAGTTTTTTTTTTTTTTTTTTTCAACTCCCCTCCCTGATTTTCAATCCGATAATTCTGCGGTGGAATCTGACTGAGCTTTCAACCAATTACAGGGAGAGCAGGTGCGACATTTGACTACAAAACGCAAACACATCCTGGTTTAGGCACCATTTGAAATAATGGTAAACTATATTTAAGATATTTTAACAAATATTAGTTATTCCATTTGAAATTGATAGTTAGAATATTTGTTTACATTTATAGGCTGATATATTATTTTATTAGGGGCTATAGCCTTTATTAGACCGCTATATGGAGTGTAAAAAGGTTAATTGGTTAACAGAGCAATGCGTTAAAGGTTCGTGATATTTTGTAAGACATTTTTTTTTTTAAATCATCTGCTGCCAATTTAGTAATTTATCATCATTGTTATTGGACATCTGTTGACTTGACTCCTGTAAAACATCTTGCGGGCTTAAACATAAAACCATTAAACCAGCAACAAACTTTGCTTGAACGTACCCCTCAAAAACAACACACCAAACCTGTAATGTTGGTACCTCAGAATGTTTGCTTACTTTTATTTGCACAGTTGTGTTTTGGATGCAGCTTTAGGCGTTTTATCTTTGATTATTAAAAGCACAACAAGGCTAACATTTCATTGTTTGTTAAACTAAGCGCTGGAAGACTATTAAATGTGTATTTATTGAGTGTCTGTAATCCTGGTGCGTTTTTCCTATTTAATAATTTTATTTAAAGATTTACCGGGATCAGTTTTATATTGCCTTGTGCGCGCGCATTAATATATTTCGATTGATGTATTTACACGCCCCCGTGTGGATTTGGTGGTGAACTGCAGCTCATTTTCATGGGACTTCAAAATATAACTTTATTCTTTCTTACGAGCGTGTTGCATTTTTCATTGTCTTTTTTCTTTAACTGAGAGCTCAAACATGCACTAAAGTTACAAATCATGTCTATTTTGGCTGGCTAGTATCGCAAATTCTATTGTCACAAGGATTTCTTTTCTTATTATAATTTTCTTATTAAGAACGAGTATTTCTCCTTTTTGCGTTGTTTAGCATTGTGGCGCAGTGGAAGCGTGTTGGGGCAATAACCCAGAGGTCGATGTATCGAAACCATCCTCTTCTAGAATTTTTTTTTTTTGGTAGCGATTTAAATATAACAGTTTGTAATCTCAAGGGTGAAAATAAAGTCAGGGTTATTATGAAAAACTAAAACCATAAAAATATTTTCGTTATTTGAAATAATATAAATTTATACTACTACTACTGGCATTAGTAGACCACTACAGCAGAGTGGCGCAGCGGAAGCGTGCTGGGCCCATAACCCAGAGGTCGATGGATCGAAACCATCCTCTGCTAGCTTTTTGTAATTATTATTGTGTAGTGATTTAAAGATAACAGCTTGCAATAAAATAAAATTTGATTAAATTAAATTAATAAAATTTGAAATAAAATACACGTAAACTGAAATTAGGTATGACAATGTTATTTTATTTCGGCTAGTTGCAACATTTTTCATTTTTATTTCATTTTCATTTAGTTTTACTGAAAACCCACAACATTAAAAATACAAAAAAAAAAAAATCTACTCCAAAATAGTAATAAAATATATAGCCTAGTAATAGTCAGTGATAGCCTATATATCAATGTTGCTAGGAATTACTCAAAAGGGGACATATAAACAGTAAAATGCTTATTAGCCATATTACTTTCAGAGATTAACAAAAAGGACATGCAGGGAAACTATCAACTGAAGATGGAATACCCCTAGATCTATTTTGAGGGAAGACATCTTTGATAGAGGTCTGTGACCGGTATTAACCACTAGAGGGACCTCTCCACTAAAAAACAGTCTCATCCAGAACATTTTTTGCATTAATAGGCCAACTCCGTATAAGTTATTTTTCACTTCCTATATTCATGCTCTTTGTGAAAAGCAGAGGCAGAGATGAGTGTACGAAATTAAACATTACTGTAAAATGAGATAACTATGAACGGATAAGGCTCAATTTGTAGTTCCCACAAGAACTTCTGTGATCTCTTCCTGTGTGATTACAAAACTCCTTACATTTTTTTTCATTGGAATATAAATGTGGATGTTTGACAGAATTAATGACAGTCTCAGTCACAAATCACTTCAGTTAAATGGGGAAAATGTATGCTACTAATGAAAGTAAATGGTGAGGCTGCTTTATTTTGTGTTTGGAAGAAAGTCATCCCTTGGGTTTCCAATAACATGAGGGATGAATAGTTTTTTTAATTTATTTTTTTATTTAGCAATTTATGATTATCGGCCAAGCTATAGTTGACTTAAATTATTAGCCTTTAGATTTTAAGCTAGCTTGTTTATCTGACACTCATTCATTCATTCATTCATTCATTCATTCATTCATTCATTCATTCATTCGATCTTTCTATTGTTCAGTCGTTTATTTATTTAGCTACTAAAAATCCTTCACTAGTTTATTCTATTTGGATTTTATATCACTTTACTTTTTTCATCATTTATTTATGTAAGCCTATAGGCTATGTTTAGGACAAAGTGATTTTTACACATAAATAGTTAGCTATTATAGGCCTATTTTGATTTTAAGGTAGCCTAGTTTATTTTACAGTATTTTCCTCACTCTTATGTATTAATGTATTAAATATTTTATTAAAATTTTATTGTTTCATGTTTTTAGAAAAAAAAGTAGCCTGGTAGCCTATAGGCCTACTTTTTAATATATTTAGATTTTAAGCTAGTTTACTTTGTTTTTCTTCACTCGTATGTATGTATGTATGTTTTTTTAAAGTATATTTAAATGTAAATAGTTATGTAGTCTAAATGTAAATACTGCTGGTCCGATTCAGCGTCTCCGCTCGCCACCTGAGTCACGCGAAAACCGCATTACAGAGCGCTGCATCCCTCCACCCTTCAGAAAAACAACTCAGGGTCTAGCTGCAGGATTCTCTAAAACTTCCATACATGAGTCTTACACCCACCACACTTCACTGTATTTATAACATATGACTGCTGGTCATTTCTGAGAATATTCACGTCATACAAAAATGTTCTGCTTCTAGATACAGGCGTGTTTTTGAGCGCACGGGGATTATTTCTCCTGCACAGTTGCGGATGGGGACCGCGCAGGGAGGGGTTGTGAGGTGTTCAAGATGGCGGCGCCCTGTGGAGTGCAGTTGCTCTAACAGGTAAACAGGTTTATTTCTACGATGTTTTTTGTGGTGATATTTTTACATCATACGCAGTGACAGTCTAAATGTTAGATTTGCTTCCTCCTCAGTATTGTACGTGCATTATAGAGTCTTTCAGGCGTTATTTCTGGTTTGCACTAAGCTTGTCGAAAAATAAGGCTCTCTTGATTGGGACTGCCAGTGAAATAATAGTCCTCATTCATTGTTACAGTTTCGAAATAAATCTCCGCATGCATATGCGCGAGATTAAGGGGGAAGTTGACATGCATAGGGGCATGTTACATTTGCTGGCGCATTTATGGAAACAGTCCCGCAGATTCTGGCCATTGTTCTCTCGCGCTGTTTACGCTAGTGGTCATTTCAACACAGAGCTGCTGTCAGTGCATGCAGCCTAAGACACAACATCTATCTCCACATCTGCACATGTTTGCACTTTATTTTTATTTTGCCCCATGCATAGGTTAAAATACAGACATTGTGATATTTGTTGCGCGAACAGATCCTTTTGCAGGCAAATCATGAAATGCAGTTTCAAGCTATTCCCTTATTTTATTTTATGATTACTGCAAATTGCAGTAAAAAAAAAAATCATTTGCACTATGACTCTCATGTCTTATCTATCTATCTATCTATCTATCTATCTATCTATCTATCTATCTATCTATCTATCTATCTATCTAATTTTAAAATTTTATTTTTAAAACAATGCAGTGTGGTCACTTGCAGAAAACACGTTTCTCTACCTCTGTAAGGACGTGTAAACTGAAACTGAGAGATTTAAGACCCAAAACTAAGTTAGGCTTTGAAAAGAATGAAGTCTTCACGACAGCTTGTACACAACCTCTTTAAGGAATTTGTTTATGTGGCCCTAAACGCGGCATATAAAGCTTCTTTGTGCTGTGTTAACAGCCCTGTTTTCCAATTGGCAGGCGCAGCCACAGTTCGCGATGAGGTCGTCCAGAACTTCATCTTATTAGTGTTTTTTTCCTCCTCAGTGTGATGCATGCTCTTATTTTGCGGGATACAATCATGACATTAATCAATGAACTTCTTTGTATTTCCATTGAGGGGTCAGCTTGCCATCACCCTTCCCTAGATGGTTGTCATCTGGCACAAAGAAAATGCATAGAGCAGTGCTTTGAGTTTTATAACAGCTGTTTGTTTGGTGGATAATTGGAATGGTATCCAGCAAGTATGTTGTATGATGTTGTCGAATACAAAGAAAAATCACTATTATATGGGCAAGATGTCCTGATAGTCTTCTATTAAGCATCATGGCTAGTGTGGTTTGAGTCAGTTAATGGATCTGCTACTAGAACTGGAACTTTTACTAGTCTTGCTTTGTGGCATTGCCAACTATTATACATTTTTATATCATTTACATTCATTACATTGTACACCATTCTTCTAAACTGTGCTGATTTACCATTCAAAACTTTGGGGGTCAGTGAGATTTTTTGTAATAATACTTTTATTTATTATGGATGCATTAAATTTATCAAAAATGACAGTAAATAGATTTCCGTTTCAAATAAATGCTGTTCTTTTGAACTATTAATATTGTAAATATTAAGCATCACAACTGTTTTCAATATTGAGATAAGAAAATGTTTCTTGAGGACCAAATCAGCCAATTAGAATAGTTTCTGAAGGATCACGTGAAAAATCAGCTTTTTAAAATGTCTAGATCCATGGTCCATTCACAAATTTTTATAATTATTTTTTTCTTTTTACTTTTAATTTTACTTTTTTCTTTTGTGTACAGATGTGTAAATGTATCGCTTATGAAGCTGTTTATGATGGTTTACCCAATAC